ACCACCCACCTAGGAAAAAACCGGCGAACATGCATAGAAAAAAAAAATGAGGGACACTTTTTCAGGGACAAGTACAAATTAATTACATCATGATTTAGGGTGCTTCATCCATTTGTTCTTTGTTAACTTTCTTTGCAAAAATTTACTGCACATGTGTATCTCTTACGGTTTAAGACTGCGCAAGGGTGAAAGTATCCGTAAAATAATAGCAGATTCTGCGCAACAAATTTCCGAACAAATCAAATTGATGCATTTTTAGAACGATACGGAAACTGTTCCAAGCAATGGGAATAATACACCAACGTCAACGAGAACTCATCTTGCTGTATAAGTCGCGTGTCAGAGCGGTAAAGCTTAGTTAGTGTTTTGGTACAGTGCATTGTAATTGCCCTTTCTTGTCTTACCCGTGCATAGCACGGGGCGTTCCACTAATACTAATAACAATAGTTTTTCGCTAATATCACGAAAACTAGAGATTTCCGTCAATTATGCATAAGGAAAAACTCGTTCAGAATCATGCCACTAATAACGTATTAGAAGGACATTAAAATCGTTCGAAGTTGATTTCAAATAGCACGGGGCGTTCGACTAATATTAGTAACAATAGTTTTTCGCTAATATCACGGAAACTAGAGATTTCCGTCAATTATGCATAAGGAAAAACTCGTTCAGAATCATGCCACTAATAACGTATTAGAAGGACATTAAAATCGTTCGTCGTTGGTTTCAAAAGTTAACAACAATTTTCGCTAATATCTCGAAAACAAAAGCTTTGCGCGAAATTTGTATATGAACAAAATTATTCAAAAACATGTCCGTGATAAGATATTAAAAGCGCACTAAAATAAAAAAATGTTTATTTCAAAAGTTGCCGGTTTTTTGCAATAACAACACTTTGCAATTAAAAAATGAAAAATTTTTTGATAATAGTACCAATGGGGAGTCAGCACCTACCATATGCAAAAGGTTTCATTCCGATCGGTCCATCCAGCTAGGCGTAATGCGCGAACAT